TGGGTGCAACCCAAACGGCATGACCGTAAATTGAAATAATCCACGTCTAGGTACGGTGAAAGCGGTAACTGGTCGACTCTCGATACTCAAGGGCACCTGCTAATAGCCTTGGCGAAGATATAGGCTAGTTATTTACTTGGCAGCTCTCAATTTATCCAGTATAGCGTGGATAAATGGCAAAGGGTAGGCATCCTTCTCGGTAACCTCGAAAGTCGATGAAACTCCAAGGGCTACTGGACGGTTCTACCACCCCGTCAGTCATCATTCGATCAACCTCTTCGTTTAAAATCTCTTGCATCCTGGGGTTTTGCGGTCGGTACCTCTGCTTGATAGGAAATCCAGTTTTCAACCTGATGTGATGTTTAATACAGGAGGTCGGGCCTCTTGCTGCTTGAAAGGCCAGGGCCAATTCTATTTTCAGAAACTTTTCCAACTGGAAACGTTGTTCTGGGGTCAAATGATCAGTCTTCTTTTCACCTTCACTTCCCTTGGTCGGTAAGCTAGCAGCTGAGCTACTTGTTGGATATTCATCGGTCGATACTTTTTCATTTCAAAGTATCTGGGCGGTTCTCTTCAGTGACAGGTGACTCTTCCGATACTACTTGCACCTCTGTATTCGTAGTATTCTCTCCATCATGACTGGGAGAAATTTCAAACTCATTGAGAAAAGCAGTGGCATTAGACAGATTCAAGCTGAACTCATGTTTACTCAAGATATCCATGCCCAACACTATATCGATGGTTAATAATGGGGTAATCAATAATTCTTCCGTGAAACATTCTTTTCCAATGATCAAACGTGGACGAAAAGCGTGGCTGATGCGGACTAGCGTCCCGTCTGCTTGGCGGGCATTAAAAACTGGTGAGTTGTGGGGCCTATACCCCTGCCTGACACAGCACTCGCCTATGGCGGGACTAGCGAAAGATCGGGTGGCTCCGGTATCTACTAAAGCCAAAAATGACGTTTCCTCGATTCGAACCACCACATACGGTCGGTTATCTCTGGGACGAGAGGGTTTCGGGGATTCCGAGGTTTTTAATTCCTGGAGCCGGTCTGATTTTGACTCAGACGGGCCCCTTGTCCGTTTCCCGGATGGCTGCAGTTACAGTCCCTAGACATGACTCCATTCCGGCCACAGCGGGAACAAAATAGTCTCGGGGGGTTTGGACAAACTGGTCTCAGATGACCTCTCTCTCCACATCTCCAGCATGTGATATTTCCAGATTGATTGGGTCTCGGTTCGGGTCGATCGATGCGTGCTACTCCCGAAGTTGGAAGAGAGCTTCTTGGGGCTTTTGGCCCGGCAAGCGGTACGTTCATCTGTCGTGGCATGCTATACCGACCCATGGAATTGGGTACTCCCACCTGTTCCCCTCGCATTTCTCGTTGGAGGACTTCGAATTCCAAAATTTTGGAAATCATTTCCGTAACATTATGAAAGTCTGTTCTCCTTATATAATGCCGGTTTTCGGGCAACAGGTTCGATAGAGCCAGGCGGTCTCCTGCTCGTTCGACAACCGCCCATGCCTTCTGGTCAATGTTTGCATATCCATGACATACTCAATAGCCGGTTCGGTTGGTTTCTGTAATCGGCGACTAATTTCCAATTCCAGATCCTCGATATAGTGCACAGGGTAAAATGCGCTTTGGAAAATATTCCTGAACGTACTCCAAGAATGTCAGTATGCCCTGTTGCTTCGATACCAGAGTAGTGCCATCCCTTCTAATAGCTATGGTAATGCCCCTAACATTCGGTCAGACGGTATATTTTCTGATAGGCAGATTTCCTCTAGCCTTCCCAAAAACGCCACTGGATCGCTCTGGCCATCAAAATGGAGATTCCATCGATGAGTTGGTAATGTCGAGTGATAAACACTAGTTTCTGGAATATTCGGGGCGGTGGTGCTCATCATAGGTGCACTATTTGTAGGTACATGCCCCGTATGGGTAGAAGTTGACGCAGCGGGGGTAGCGCGGGGGTAGAACGTCGTTGACGAGGGTATGTTCTGATAACCTGGTAGGGTGGTCGATCCAGCTGTGATAACAGGTTTCATTAGAGGTGATTGGGGCGGGTTTATATGGACATTCGGTATCCCGGATTTATCTGCATTACTCAGCAATACGGGTACGGCTCTCAGAAACGTTGTTATTCGCTTTCTAAGTTCCATAACCGTGCCTTCAGTGTCTAGTTGTAAGAGCTTAGCCTCTTCTATGAGTTTTGGCTTTTTCAGCCTATAGATTCAGCTCACGCGAGGCTCAAGGTTGGCAGGGGCTTCTTCAACTGACTCCTCCAGTTCTGAGGATGGAGAATTAGGCCTACTATAATCTCGATTTTCAGGAAATAGTTTTCCTGGGTCCCCAAGAGATGGAGACACCGGTCTCGACATTTCTGACCGATTTCCTTCCATAGTGGACTGGTCTTGAACGGAGAGTCCGGGTGACCTGGTCGGGACTATTTTTTTCGCGAGAGATGAATAGTTTCGGCGGAATTTTATAATTCAGGATTGAAATCAGAGCGGCCGTCAACGAAGGAAAACAAAATTCACTAGATCGGGGAATACTCGACTCCAAAGACGATTTAAGTAAACCAAAGAGTATCCATTTACAACTCCAACACCTCCAGGTGGGGAAATATGTAAGAAAAATTATAATACTAATGTGGAAACATTCAACAACAACATTCAGGTCCCTGCTCGGGCGCCAATTTGAAATCCTATTTTCCTTTCGAATTGATAGAACTATACAGTTGGCACCTGATACGGACGTATAAAGAACAAACACTAATACATTTACAATAGTCGGGCGACAGTTATTTTAGCGTGGTATACTCCACGATATCTCCTCTCTAAACGAATCAACTTAGAGAAGGCCTCAGGCAACAACAGATGGAGATGCAGTATGCCAGAGGTTCGTTGCTAAATTGCTGTTTCCTTTTAGCAAAGTTCAGTACTTGATTTTGTTTGCTAAGGCAATTATCTGTAAGTTAGAAATTTTCAACTCTACCACTATCACTACTAGCCAATGAAACAAACAACAGTTTTGATAAACAAAACATATAGTTTATCTGAAGAGCATAGCAAAAGAAAGTGTCAATTACATAAAACAGTGGATTGAGACCAGATATGCCGATTGCATAAGAATAATTATGTTCGACAATCTTCTCCTAAATACCTAACCTAATTTCATGGAACGAGCGACCTGGAGGTGAATTTAACTGATTGACAGACGTTTATTGCACATTTTCCGATCGAAGATTATCTGTGACCTTTAATATAACAGGAGTAGTAACACAACCCTAGAAGATCAATAAATAACACGTCGGAACGGTACACCTCTGGTTCTATCCGTCAACCCGCCAATACTTATTCAGTGTTTCGTTCACTGCGCTAAGCATACACGCCACTGTTCAGTCACCTCTCACCCGAGGTTTTTTTTTCTGTGCGACAAGGCAGGGAGACTGTTCAGGTGGGTAGTGGGCTGTCTGACAGAAAGGAGGTTACGTACCACCCGCGAAAATATTAGCACCCTCAATTCAGAATTTCCCCTCAGCTCAGAATTTCCCCTCAACTCCCGGAATGGTCTACGTAGGTATTTATCCTCAAACAATCTCGAAGAAATGCAACCCACTGCTCAATCACCTTCCACCCGACTTTTTTTTTGTGCGACAAGACGTGGAGATTGATCAGATTGGTAATACATTTCAAGACTGAGAAAGGATTCAGAGGGAATGACCGGAGCAGGATCGAGAAAGAATTACCCTTGGTCAACCACCATTCGCCTGACCTTTTTTTTGCGACAAGGCGTGGAGATTGATCAGATTGGTAATAAACTCAAGGACTGAGAGACAATTCTAGTACCCGTGTTAGATAATGAATGTAACTGGATTACAAAAAAAAATACTTGCAACCAAATCAATAACTAAAATGATGAATCAGGAATAATAGAGAAATATTTAGGTCCCAGATGATCTCGTCTCGTAGGAAAACTAGACAACAAAATGACAATGATCACATTCTTCGAAACTCACCGGGATAATATTTATCATCAGGTACGGAATTGGAACAGCTAATCCACAAATTGAAATGGCACTCGGTTTAGGTACACGGTAATTCACTCGGGGCGGACGGCTACACTTATTTACTAACTATCTTGTAGTATACCGATCTATCAATATCTGTTAGTCTAGGGGGAATACCTTTTATAGTTTTACTCGAGGTCATGTTCAGAAACCGGTTAAGGGATCAGCAAAAACCAAAAGGTTTTCTGAAAAACACCGAGACCAGTACGCCAAAGCTACTTAGAATGAGGTACAAGAACAACGAGGTCAATGAATGAAAAACTATGTACAAACACACTCGACTCGGGAGCGATGAAAACTGTCGAAGTGCACCAAGATCCACGCTAAAAATATAGACCATGACTCTAAGCGTTTCGTTTTTTCAGGTCACAAACAAGACAATACTCATGTCCAAATAATAATAAAACAATTCGTACTGGATAACGAAACTATTCAATTCTACACTAAATGCAATCACTATCAATAATATAAATAGGGTAGTAACGAAGCATTCCCTGATAAATCCGGTATGATTTAGGAAAAATGGGAAACAAACTATTTATAATGCTCAACAATAGACATTATAAGATACACTGCTCAACCATAGGAATGGCACTAATTCTTGTTAAACGGCAAGAAGTAAAATAAATGCTTCGTTAAAAAGTAGTTGCCACTGAGCAGATTTGTTTAACAAGCACTTGTGAGCTTGAACCAGTATGTTTGAGATTGTTTTGCTTGATATATTGTGCTTCTTAAATTTAGAGCTCAACCCTTACCTAGTGTACCAATTCCCACAGTCTATGATATCTGCCAAAACCCCGAGGTCTTCTTTGAAAGTCCCAAAAACGCAGTGTTACATCACCTGGGCGGCATCGCTCTCATTCCATTCCCCATTCATTCTGAAATCTACGTTTCGACAAAGGTCCCACAGCATAAAAGCCCCTATCCCCGAGGAATTAGATCTCGTATTTCCGCCGCCAAGAGCTGGTCGATGTCTGGTGTGAATGCAAAGGTGCGTTTTGCTGCAGCTAGCCATTTATCCCTGTACTGCGGCTCACACCAAATGTAACACAAAAGGATGGTCATAGGGCCCAGCGACTGCACCATCGATGATCCTTTTTTGGGAGGGAATGTGCATCCTTCAAGGATTATGTGGTGGCCACCATGAAGTCCGTAGCTTTCGACCATGAGAGTTTTGGACTTTCCCTCTTCCTTTCCCACTGACATTTGCGAGTGACCTAGTCGTAATTCCTTCCATCTAAGCCCATACCTACAGAAGAAGTTCAGGTAAGGCGCTGCCGTCCCGTACCAATTAGCTATATCCTTGGGGACGAATCTTTGGAATTCCAGCCCTACCGCTTTGAGCGTCTTTTTTACTATCTCTGTCACCTTCGTCAGACTAGTCGAATATTTCTTTGACCTCCATCGCCTCTTAGCTTCTATAGCAATTTATCCAGAAGGTCTGAGAGGTTCGATGTGAGTTGCTGTATAGTCCTCATCCCGGATGACCTCCCAAGTTTCTTGGCAATATTCTCGAAGAACTCTTCGTTGGACTTCATTTCCCTCGACACGCTGAAACATGGAAGACTGAAGTCCTGGAAGTAGTTGCCACTAAGCAGATTCGTTTGACAAGCACTTGTGAGCTTGAACCAGTATGTTTGTTGGATAAAGAGATTGTTTTGCCTTATATATTGTGCTTCTTGAATTTAGAGCCCAACTCTTTCCTAGTGTACCAATTCCCACAGTCTGTGATATCTGCCAGAACTCCGAGGTCTTCTTTGAAAGTCCCAAAAACGCAGTGGTACATCACCTGGTCGGCTTCGCTCTCATTCCATTTCCCATTAATTCTGAAATCTACATTTCTTAAAAGGTCCCACAGCATAAAAGCTCGTTTTACCGAGGAATTAGGTCTCTTATCATGGGGAGACCTAATTCTGCAATCATCTTCCCGCATGGAAGAGTGAATGGTCTGACAAGGGCTGCATGGGCCCAGTTAGTGTCATCCGCTGTCGCAAAAGCCATCATACACAATGGTAGGAATGCTCTAATCGCAGGCCTAGTAGTCGCTATGCGGCAAATGTCAGACATCATTCCTGTTAAATGTCTGATTTCCGAGGCATTTTTCTTGTGTATTTCCTCCGACAAGAGCTGGTCGATGTCTGGTGTTAATGCAAAGGTGCGTTTTGCTGCAGCTAGCCATTTATCCCTGTACTGCGGCTCATACCCAATGTAAGACAAAAGGGTGGTCATAGGGCCCAGCGACTGCACCATCAACGATCCTTTTTCGGGAGGGAATGTGCATCCTTCAAGGAGTATGTGGTGGCCACCATGAAGTCCTCAGCTTTCGAACATAAAAGTTTTGGACTTTCCCTTTTCCTTTCCCACTGACATTTGCGAGTGACCTAGTCGTAATTCCTTCAATTGAAACACTTACCCACATAAGAAGTTCAGGTAAGGCCCTACTGTCTTGTACCAATTAGCTTCATCCTTGGGGGCGAATCTTTGGAATTCCAGCCCCACCGCTTTGAACGCCTCTTTGACTATCTCTGTCACCTTTGTCAGACTAGTCGAATATTTCTTTGACCTCCGTCGCCTCTTAGCTTCTATAACAATTCATCCAGAAGGTCTGAGTGGTTCGATGTGAGTTGCTGTATAGTCCTCATCCCGGATGACCTCCCAAGTTTCTTGGCAATATTCTCGAAGAACTCTTCGTTGAACTTCATTTCCCTCGACCCGCTGAAACATGGAAGACTTGAGTCCTGGAAGTAAAGGGTGGGCCATCTATTGGTCCGATTTTGAGTAGATCATTGAATAAACAAAAGCTGATTTATTTGCAACAAATTTCGCTTTATTTGCTACAGTGTTTCTTCCGATTAAGTATGGAAAATGATTTCATTGAAATGTTGTTCACGGCTGGCTCGACAGTAGGCCATCCTGGAACACCAATTTTCAAGCACTTTGTTCACTGTTTCCTGGTCAATTTGGGCAATTTCGGCACGAATATTCTGTTTCAAGTGATCAATTGTTTGGGGATTGTCGGCATAAACTTTACTCTTCAATGTACCCCACAGAAAAGAGTCCAGCTGCGTCAAACCAGTGGACATCGCCGAAACGGCTAATCACACGGTTGTTGAATCTTGTGCGCAGAAGGTTGATGCTACGCGCGGCGGTATGACAAGTTTCGCCATCTTGTTGAAACCATAATTCATCGAGATCGATATTTTCCAATTCCTGCCACAAGAAGTCAGTTATCATGTCGCGATAACGTTCATATTCATATTCATATTCACGGCGTGCCCTTCCGCATTTTCGAAAAAGAAAGGACCCATCACGCCACCACTCCAAAATCCGCACCACACAGTGACTCGAGCTGGATGCATAGGCTTTTGGACGACAACGTGTGGATTGTCCGTTCCCCAAATTCTGCAATTTTGTTTGTTGACGTAGCCTCCGAGGTGAAAATGCGCTTCGTCAGAAAATATGATTTTTCGTGCGAAATTTGGGTCATCGTTCAACTCATTCAAAGCCCACTCAGCGAAGCGTAAACGTTGTGGAAAGTCATTCGGTTCCAGTTCCTGAACGAGTTGGATTTTATACGCAAACATACCAAGGTCTTTGTGCAAAATCCTCCTTAGAGTGGTTCGTGAAATGCCGACTTGTTGACTTCTGTGCCGAGTCGATGTTCTGGGGTTTTGACGAACACTTTCGGTCACAGCAGCGATTGCTTCTGCTGTACGCACCGGACGTGTATGCGGCACACGTCTGGCATCGACCAGCATCCCAGTTTCACGAACTTTATGCACCAACTTTCGAATTGCACGCGCGGTAGGCGCTGCATTTCTTCCAAACTCTGTACGCAATTTTCGCAATGTTTCACTCATGACAGAACCACATTCAAAATAAGTTTTCAGAATTTCAAAGCGTTGGTCCAAAGAAAACCAATCCATATTCGTTCAGCGGCAGGTTAAAACTAACCTAGAATCAACAACTTATGGCGCTAAAGTTGACAGCGCCATTATCGACTGGCTGTTCAAAATCGGACCAATAGATGGCCCACCCTTTACAATGTACATTTCGTCCCCATAAGTGTTCCAAATATCCCAGGTTTGCCGAACTACTCCCAATAATACCATGTGCATATGGTCTATAGGATAACTCCAAACCAGATCAAAACTTGGCAAATTTATAACGACCTTTAATGCCATCAACTCTCCTTTCAGATGGTACAGCTTCCAGCATATTCCTCATTACCTCATCGGAAGATCGAATGGTATAAGGAGGAACATTTGATGAATATTTCAATTGCTTGTTATCACTTTACCTGTATGATAGCAGTAGCTTCATCTATTAAATTTCGTTGAATTGAGTTGCATTTTGAATCAATGGCCTATAGCTACTGAATCTACACAACAGAATAATAGAAATATCTTGAAGTGTTCAATCTACCATTTATCTTTCATCGAAACCCTCCTTCATTCGCTATCACATTATAATTTTCTGCAAAAACAGTCAAGAAGACATTCATCTGATTTCCCAAACCAAATCTTAGCTAGTATGATATCTCAATGCCTCTGTACTGGTGGTTATTCATTCACAACAAGTTGAATGGGCCACATGGATAGTTTTGAAGAATGAAATACATGTGCATCATCTGTATCAAAATCGAATTAGAAATCAGATATTTTTTCCTCAAAGCTTGGTAAATTTCAGAATCATGTTCATCTAAAATAGTGGATTTGACGAAGATGCTCACATTTTTGTATGTTTCAGAAATCACAAATCTAAAGTTATAAAATAGTTATCCAAGAGAGGTGATATCACATTCATTGTTTCACATTGCTCACATGACATTTTGGTGCTTCCTTTCTAACTTTGTAACTTATATCATTTGATGACAGTTTCTACAATAATAATTAGATTGTACTTCCTCTTCTGGTGGCATTGCTCGTTTGTCAATATGATGATTTGTTAAACCAGTTTTCGTACCTAGTAAAACATCGATAAGTATATCATCACATTATCCAAAAATAATGAAAAAATCATGAGAATTTTATAGAATAGTTTTGTTCCATTGTTTCAGATGGTAGTCGAAATTTCTAAAGTGAAGGAGATGTCATTATTAGGAGAATGTCACAACGATACCGTCAAATAGTAATTATGGCCTGCCCAGACAGCACTGGATATTCATAGAATATTCTCTGAATATGCTGAAAAGGAGGAGTATATTCCGAATATTCATCGATTATTCCTAGAATATATACATGCCTCTGGAACATCTAAAAGGAATATTCCAAAGTGAATAGTCGGACATGTTCAGGGAATATTCAGGTATGAATCTTCCAGGAATATTCCCAAATGAATATTCTCTGTTGTATATTCATGAAATATACCCAACTGAATATTCTGTGCGGTATATTCATGAAATATACCCGACTGAATATTCTGTGCGGTATATTCATGAAATATTCTCAACTGAATATTCTGTGGTGTATATTCATGAAATATTCCATGAATATTCCTATGTTTCTCAACACCTAAATACCATTTATTAATTCAGAGATGTGAGTATCGAACATCAATTAGATGTAAGGGGATTTTGAAACAAAAAGTGTTTATGATCCAATTTCGAACAATGCTCTCACAAGAACTTGATATGTATAACATTATTCAATTCGATTACTGGCATAGTGGTCAAGGCGTTGCTCTGATAGTCTGGAGGTCACGAGTTCGATCCCTACTTGGGTCACTTTTTTTTATTTTAGAATATGTTTATTGGAATATTCCAGGAACATTCAACATAGAATATTCTTTTGGGTATATTCTATGATTATCTGAGGAATTCCCATTCGCATATTTAGAGAATATTCCACAGATATTTCGAAATATTCCAGATTATTTCTAGAATATTCCAATATTCCAAAAGGAATATGATAGGGAGATTCATGGAATATCTGGGTGTTAACCAGATACCGAATGGCGATAGGTATCATATTCAAATATAAATATATCATTTTTTGGTACCATTGCGAAGGGACACTTTCACCCATAAATGCTCATTAACCCTTTGCGGTCCAAATATTTTTTCATGACCTGTCTTCCCTGGTCCAATTATATTATCGTTGCCTGTCTTCCTGGGTCCTATTTATTACAAGCATTTATTACAAGCATTTATTGAAATTGCCTTGCACATTCGGGTGAAATTTTAGAAGTGTATTTTGTCACACTTCTAGTTGTCCGATCTACTCGAAATTTGAAAGATGTTCCTAATACTGGTGATAATGTAATCTCTATATATAAAAATGAATGTTTGTCTGTCTGTCTGTCTGTCTGTCTGTCTGTCTGTCTGTCTGTCTGTCTGTATGTCCTCGATAAAATCGTAAACGGCTCGACCGATTTCGTTAATTTTTTTTCGTTTTTTTCGTTATAGTTCAGGGGTGGTTCAGGTTAAAAAAAATGAAAAAATCAAAGATGGCGGAACCAATATGGCAGACGAATATGTAATTATTGACCGATTCTATCAAAATTGGTATCTAGGGGTTTTCGGGGTCGGAGATTATGATTCTTTCGTCAAAATTAGGAAATTCAAAATGGCGGATCCAATATGGCGGACGAGTTTTGTTATTATGCACCGATTCTATTCAAAATTGGTATCTGGGGGTTTTCGGCTTTCAGAGATTGAGATTCTTTCGTCAAAATTAGGCAATTCACAATGGCGAATCCAATATGGCGGACGAGTTTTGTTATTATGGTCAGATTCTATACGAAATTAGTATCTGGGGGTTCTAGGATTCGAAGATTATGATTCTTTCGTCAAAACTAGGAAATTCAAAATGGCGGATCCATCATGGCGGACGAGATTTTTAATTATGAGCAGATTCTATTGAGAATTGGTATCTGAGGATATTCGGGGTCGGAGATTATGATTATTTCATCCAAATTAGGAAATTGAAAATGGCGGATCCAATATGGCGGACGTGTTTTGTAATTATGCACCGATTCTATTCAAAATTGGTATCTGGGGGTTTTCGGGGTCGGAGATTATGATTCTTTCGTCAAAATTAGGCAATTCAAAATGGCGGATCCAATATGGTGGACGACTTTTGTTATTATGGTCCGTTTCTATTCAAATTTTGTATATGTATGGTTATTTGGGGTCCTATATTATGTATTTTTTATTGAAATTGATGAATTCGAAATGACAGCTCTAGGATGGCCAAGGAAATGTGATTATGACCTGATTCTGATAAGAATTGATAAATGGGTTTTTGGGG